TACCCTGGGAGGCCTGCTTGTCTTTTCCAGTCCTGTCTTCATCCTGAGCATTCCTGAGAGGTACAGGCAGTCCCTGCTAGTGGCCTGGCCCTGGGCTCTGTGGGAAGGAATGCAGCTCCTCTCAGACATTCCAGTTGCTGCTCAAACCCAGTGGCACTTCATTAAGTCCCGGGCCACACCCTCTCCTCTGAGTGTTTGCTGGTTTGCCGTGGCAACCAAATACCCTTTCTGTATGTTCCCCTCCTTGCCACACATCAGTCGGTTCCATCACCAACACCTCCAGTGCAGGCCCCTTTCATTCCCTTCCTGGCTGCCAAGGGACACAGAGGCCACAGGGTGAGGATCAAAACATCTTCCCCTGCCCGATGCCCAAGGGTGAGAGAGCTCAGAAGGTTGGAGGTCTGCGGTGCAGCAACTCACCTTCATTATGTAGACCCAGCTGGTCAGGATGAGTGTGCTCCAACAGTTCTGCTCCATAACCTATGGACATCCAAGTGGCTGCTGTTAGTCTGTCTGAGAATAGGGCCTGGCTAGAGGGTGGAGCTAACGGTTATACTGTGAGTCTTACACCAGTATAGATCAAAACTCAGTGAGATCAGAGATGGGAGGAGTTCCAGAGTTCCATTTCTATATAAGCCAATACACACATCTCACCAGGAGCCTTGACAGGGCATTGGCCAGCCCCACAGTCACTCCCTTCCCTGGGGCAGAGAAGGACTGCTAACCGCCTGGTTGCAGCAGCAAGACTTCAAAATGTAAAGATTGCTGCATTTTGTCGTCCAGAGACTTCCAGTGTGGCTGCATACAAGAAGTGCATGTTCCCACTTCCTCTCCCTCCCAAACTAAACCAGCCAAGCCAAAACAACTTGATGGATCGGTTTTGCTCTTGGTTTAGGGTTCTCTCCATATTGAATTCCTCAGAAGGAATGTGATTAAAGCCAGCCACAGGACAGCACTGCAGAGAGCCACACTTAACAGCTGTTTTCCCTTGGACAAGTTGCCTACAGTCTCCAAGTTGGAGTTGCCTCGTGGGTAGAGTATGGCCAGTGGTAGTAATGTGCTCACGTGCCTTTGGCAGAATTAGGTGACAGAAGCCATGTAAAAGTGTGTATATGATGCAGCACATGATCAGCAACCAGTGAGCGTTAATTGGCTGCTGTTAAACAGCATCTTCAGCAACCAAAGACATTTCTGCCAGAGGGTAAAAACTCTTTGAGAAAGTTCAATGTCAAAAATTCAGCCAGATCTTTGGTACATAAAAAGGATGCATAGTATGAACTTGAAATGCTACCTTCTTTTCCAACCACATTGTCAAGGAAAGCTACCTAGCAAAGGATACTATTGGTGAAACATGTGGCTCCTGTTCAGTGTGTCAATTGCCTTCAAGAGTTTCATCTCATTGGACCTCAAGCTGCCGGTAGCAGTTAGCAAGCTATTGTGTGGGGGCTCAGACCCACCCTTCTGGGCTTTCTTTGCGATGCTGCTGGGGGACCCCTGAAAACCTGGAGTCCTTTTGACAGTCAGTCCCATGTTAGACCTTGTCAGTGAGAAGCACTTGAGGGAGACTGGTAAGAAGAGGAGTGAGAGGTTAGCTTGCTGTCCCTGTGGGTGTCACCCTGCCACGGGCTCTTCACCAGGCAGCAGCCATCATTGTGCACTCAAAGGAGCAGTGTCTGTACCCTGAAGAAATTCCAGCACTAGGCAAATGGCCTCTTCTTCAAGAGGGTGTCTAGTCTCCGGTAGGCCATCTTCCTCTTTGCCCCAGCCCTAGGGACAGAGCTGTTTCCCACAGTTATCAGCCAGATCATTGGCCACCTCAGTGCTTAGAATCATTTCCCTATTTTGATCCTGTAAGACATTTTAACCAATTCCCTACGTTAAATTCTCTCTGTTGGAATTTTGACTACAGATTAACTGATACTCTGCTCAAGTGACAGAAGTAGTGGGAGACTTAGAAATCCTCTGTTTGATGACTTTTAAGATCCTATAGTAACACTATTAAGACCATCTTAAAATGCAGATTTAGAAATGAAGATGACCGTTTAGAAAACATAAGTGCAGTGCTGTGAAATTTATCATGTAATAGTGGGGCTCGAAGGCCTCCAAAACGAGCTACTCACATGCATTCTATTTCAACTGTCCATTGGCAAAGGATCTATATTCACTTTTGCGCGGCTCATGAATTGCATACAACCTATGGAACTGTGTAGGATCCAGATACTCCTGAACTTCCCTGATGTCACTTGTTCCGTGCCTTTTCTGCTCCCATAGAGGAGGACAGGTGAATGTGTGCCTGCTGCTCACCATGTCCATATTTCTATTAGGCTTTTGCTGGTGGCTCCTGCCACCCCTTCTGACCAGTGCTGATCTGCTGTCAGAATCCTTTTCAAGCCAGTTGTTCAAGCAGCCAGTCCCACCTGATCCGTTCAGCATTCATGTGGAAACCCATTTGCACCCTGAAGTCTTAGAGTTCATGGGAATTCAGTTACTTTGGATATCAAAATTTCATCTTCCAGATGGTAACTCAGACCTGAAAGAGTTACAAAATTTCTGTGTCAGCTAATATGTAACAATTGTTCGTTCCATGTTTGAGTTTAAGATCCAGCCAGGAAAACCAAGCACACTTTAGGTAACTCACTAGAGTTGAAAATGGGGTTCTGGAAGAGTGGAAAGGTGGCTGGTGAATTTTGGAAGAGGAGTGTGCCCTAAAGATTAACAGCAGCCAGAAGCAGGTCCTGCTTGATGAACAAGGGACACGTGGAGGAGATGAAACCACAGAGGAGGCACTGGAGATGAGACATCATCTGGGACAGAGAAAGAAGTGTCCTGGCTTCCTTTTCCTTCCAACCTACTGCTAGTGCTTCCCAGGGTCCCAGCAGGGAAGCTGTTTACAAGAGTCTGGGAACTGAGCAGGGAAAGGGGCAAAGGGGATCTGAGAACACAGGCGATGGGCTGACGAGGAAGACAGGCCTGGTCACCTTGTGTTCAGTGGTCGATAGAACAAGGTGCCCCTCTGGGTCTCCTCGGTGGCAGTTAAGCCCTGCAGTTCCCCAGGGAGGAGGTTTGAGGTGGTTCCTCTCTGAGCTGGTGAACAGGAGAAAACTGACTCACTGGATAATAGCCTCAGGGTCACATGGCACTTGAATCACTTGAAACAAAGGAAGTTACTTCTATTTATTAAGCGCAAAATATGACTGAAGTTCTCCTACCGGGAAAGGTAGTAAGGAACCAATTACACTAATTTGTACCCCATGCGAGCAGGGCATATCATAGTCACTAACAAAAGGCAGTGTGGGCGAGGAAACTTGATGTCAAAACCTGTCCATCTCTAAGAAAGTCAAGCTAATTACATTGCAAAATCATAGAACTAAAAGGTTTATTTTTTTCTCACTGTGGAACAGTACAGACGTGAGCCACGTCCCAGATTCCATGTGCACCAAGAGAAATTGTTCGCTTATTCTATACACCGTTGGGGTTTCATCTGAAATGAACTTACTAATTAATTGGTTCATTCCAAATAATAATACGGTAGTGATCGTTGGTGGGAACAGGGGTGGAAGGCATGAGGTCTTCAGAATCAGGGTTGGGTTCTATTCTGTCCTTGCCCCAAGTTGCCCTCTCCCTTTTCTTTCCTTTGCTGACCCTGGAAGGATGTTCCCCCTCTTGCAGGGTTTCTGGTCCACCTTCTCAGAAACTCTGGAATTTGGCATCCCACCCTTGATTTTCCTCCCCTCTGATGGATCAAAGACTCACCTGTAGCCAGACAAGCATTCTGCACGGGAGCCCTGCTGGCACAGGAGCCCACTGCTTCCATGTGAATTCACACCCTCACCCAGATGCCAGCACCATGGGTCTCAATCAGATGACCTTTATTTAGCAGACTCTTTATTGGCTTAAAAATAACTATTTTATTAGGTACCATAATTTGGGGGTCAGGAATTCAGGAGGGGTTGGCAAGGTGATTCTGCTCTTCCACAAAGCATCGATGGACATTGTCTGGTGGAGGGATGTAGCCTCCAGGGCCCAGGACAGCTTCGACTGTGTATCTCAGGCTTTGGCCTGAGACTGGGAACCCGATTGCCTACACAGGACCTGCGCATCATGAGGGACCCGCACGGAGCTGCAGAGAAGGAGCAGGAGGAGCCCCAGCTCTTAGGGCTCCTACTGCAGTCCCATCCTGTCACTTCCTTCATCACCTGTTGGTCACAAACCTGCCCGGAGTCAAGCACAGAGGCAGCGGCACTACTTCTAGATGGGAGGGGTGGGGAGAATGTGTGTCCCGGGTCTTCATCTTCTTTTAATCATCCTGCTTGGGCAGGGAGGAGGACTTTGATCCTGGCTTTTCCAGAGGGTGTCTTAAGCCCAGGCTCCTAACATCTGATTATGGAGGAATTTAAAGGGAATCACATGTTTTGGTAGAGGCCCAGATAACATCTAAAGTTACATTGTAGAGAGGAAGAGAGAGATTAAGTGTTTTGGGCTCCTCCCTGTGAGGCCTTGCGTAATACCCAGTCTATTCCAAATGCCTCTACAGAATGCAGGTCGAGGATGTCCGGGAGGGCCTTTTGCAACCTTTTCCTTGGATGCCTGAAGTGTAAATTCTCCCACAGCATCCCATATATGTCTTTGTCTTAGTTCTTCTTACTCCTGTTAGGATAAGCTCACCAGCTAAAAAGCCATACTCCCAGAGAAAACCAGCTTATACCCTCTGCATTGCACATGATGTCTGAAATACAGAAGACCTGGAATAGATGCATTTATATTGACTAATAACTTGGAGAAGGTGGTAAAGAGAAGATGAGACTCACTACCTCATAAAAGCAATTATAATTGGCCATGAAAACTCTGACTCTTCTTTTTATTTCTATTAGGATGTTGGCTACAAGGCCTATTGTACTATAAGGTGTGATATTTAAAACCTTAACTACTCCTCAGTCGATCCAACTAGATCACTCAGATTATTGAAAGATCTGAGGCAATAACATCTGCACACCCAGCACTACTAACAGCTTTGTTTATTATTTAGTTGATTACTTCATTTTTATAATCATACAATAATTCTCTTTCAAACAACACTGTTATACTTGAAGATGGTCACATTATATTCTTTCTTCCTTCTACAGTAGTAAAGTGTTTCTTTCCACACTTGGTTTTTTTTTTTAAATAGAACAATTGAATATCAAGAAATGCAGTTAACTAAAAATAACAATGGACCAAACTCCGTGGAAAACAATTGCACACTCCATTCAAGATCTATGCTATTACAGTGGTTCATGTACATTAGGGAGGAAAACAGCAGAGATCTCAAAGGGACATGGAGCTGGAAGTGTCACCGGGCAGAGGGACTCCATGAGAGCTGTTGGCACCTTGGAAACTTGAGGTCTAATACTGGCTCGGTACCCGTCACCCTTTCTAGCCAGGATGGGTGCCTCGGGGCAAGCACTGAGGAACACTGGCAAGGAGTGGTCGGGTGTCCTCCCAGGGAGAAGCCTCCAGTTATTTGTATGCCCTTCCCAAGACAACCCACACCCCATCTGTGTTGGCCTTTTAAACTTGAAAGTAAATTGGACCCAGTCACAGGGGTGTGTGGACAGCGTGTGTGGGTGTGTGTGGGTGTGCTGGGGGGGTGTGGACAGGCATGTGTAGTCCGGGGAACACAAGAGGCCACTGAAGAAGGAAAAGAATCCTGGGGAAGGGGAAAGGAGGAAGCCCAGAAAAAGCAAAGGGAGGGGACAAAGGTAAAGGGGACAAAAAGGAGGTGGAGGGACAGGGTTGAGCAGGGAACAAGGACGAAGGAAGGAGAGAGGAAGGTAGTGTGCCTTTACAAAATAAAAACAGGAAGGGGGAAGGGGTAACACAGGGTGGCTCCGTGCCACTCCCCGCCTCCCTCCTGCCGTCAGCTCCTGTCTCCCCACTGCTGGGCAGGAAGGTGCCGGTGGCCTCGCTGTCCTGCTACTCCAAGTCAAGATGCCGTCTTCTGCACAGACTTGAACAGAAGCATGGCCTCGGCCCGTGGCATCCTCTCCCGTGGCAGTGGTGGACAATTGCTTTGGAGGCACTTTACCTGAGGGCCCTCATCCACCCCAGGTGGGCAGCCATGTTCTCTGCTCTGGAAGGAGGGGCGTCTCTGAGGCCCTGGCATTAGGAAGAATGAAGTACATCATTCAAGGTTTCTCTGGAAAGAAGAGGAGAGCGATGGAGGCGAGTCTGGGCCTTCCGCCCCATCCTAGCTTGTTCCCATCACTGGTGAGAGGCATGGGCTACAGAGCTGCGGGTCAAAGGTGCTTGCTCCACGGCTCCTCCCTGTTCCACTGCACAGTGGCCACATCTGCGCCATGGTGCTTGGGAAAGGTGTAGCCCTCTGGGGAGGTCCCCGTGGAGCTCAGAGCTGGGACGGCTGAGTGCTTTGAGCAACAGTCCCGAGGAGCGGTAAGGCTCAGGGGCTGCTAGACCCAGTGCCTTGGAGTCCAACAGCCTGGACTCACACTGTGGCTCAGCACACAGCACTCGAAGGACAGGGATAAGCCGCATCGCCTCTCTGCCTCGGTTTCCTCTTCACTGAGACCTTGACAAGAATACCACTTTCCCCAGGGGGTTGTTGTGGGATTCAAGGATATCCAGAGTGCCCCCCCAAAACTGTTGTCTGTCCTGATTCCCAGTTAGGAAAAGTCAATCAGGTTCATCTCATACGTCCTGCACCTCCTTTCTGACCTCTGTCGTGGGTTTCCACATGAGGGGTCCCAGACAAAGCAAGGGTGGCTGAAAGTGAGGTGTGGGCATTTAAGGCCATTGATGGCCGACATGGCCCCAGGGGCTTGTTTCTGGAGGGCTGGCTTCCCCTTAGCTGGGCCTCTGTGCCATGCTCAGGCAGTGGGTGGGGCTGTGGCTCAGCGCTGATTGGCTGCACAGAAACTCTGCTATGCCAGCAGCCAGAAGGTGGCGACCTCTGCGGCACCCTCCCGCTGATGGTCCTCAGGGAAACCACTGGCAAAACCAGCAACTCAGCAAGTTTAGCAAGGGGAGGGAGAGGACAGACCTTTCTGGAGATCAATAACAGCTCTGGTTCACCGAAACACTGACATGGACGTGCCAGCCCCTCTTGGACCCGACCAAACATGAACCCAGCCTCACCTGCCGGGTGAGGGGCAGGCGCTGGGGTGCACGTTAGTGGTCTGAAGAGGTCCTTTCAAAGGAGGCATGGGTTTGTTTGTTGTTTGTTTAAATGCTGCACTCTGCTTACTTCAGTAGGTTGTGAACTGCCAGCTAGTCTCCCAGGGAGACGTCTCTGAAGGTGCACTTGGCAGTGACATCTGATTGCCACTTAGGAACGCCTCCTTCCAGGAGATTTCACAGGGGGCATCTTGTCACTGCTGAAAGATAATGGTGTTCAGAAGGCAGAGCAGAGCCCCATTGAGGGAGATTTGATCCTAGTCCTGGCTTAAAATGGGAGACCTAGAAACCCAGGAGGCCCACTGGGCGATCACGGAGGCGAGGTTTCACCTTTGAGGGGTGGAGGAAGGCCTGGGGGAAACCGCGATGCACACACAAGGGCCAGTCCCCCAGTTTGCTTTTCGTCTTCCTCTGTGAGCAGGGCTGAGGCTCCCAGAGCCAGAGGCTTCCCAAGGAAGGCCTGAGGTCAGGCCCGGTGCAGGCCTAGCTCTCCAGCTTGGCCTCTGTCCCCAGTTGCAATGGACTCAGGAACTCAGTAAGAGCAGGTGCCTCAGCCAGGTGGAACCTTTGTGGGAGTATGACAGAACTCTTGAGCATTTTGACAGGACTCTTGGGGGTTAAAAAAAAAGAAGGATGAAACAAATTAACACCAAAACAAGTCCCAAAGTAACCCTCTAAGGAAAAAATGGTGCTGCATGAAGCCACTGCCTGGCGGGCTTACGGATCGTGCCGATGGAGCGCATCAGACTGAAGAAGTTCGCAAGGAGAAAGGACCCCTTCCTCCCTGGGGTAGGTGTCATCTCTGGAGCTTTCGATGTTCCATTGAAAAATGATAAAAACCCACAAACCAACCCAGATGTCCCCCTCCGCTCTCCTGCCCCAGTTTGGCAGCCACTCGCTGGCCCCGTGCTGTCAGATGTCTTTGCTGTCCCCGTAGTCATTGTAGGGGATGCTCAGGGTCTGCTCCTCACAAGTCTTCCTGAGGTCCCGGCTGAGCTCTGACCAGTCGAGTCCGTAGGGCCTGATCTCGCTGTAGCGGCAGCCCAGGTACTTGAGCGCGCTGCGGCGCAAGCCGATCTTGGGCTCCTGAAGGAGTCCGTCGCACCAGCTGCTGAGGTCTCCGAGCTGGGAGAGGATGAGGCCAGCTTTCCTGTGGACGGAGCATGGAGGATACTTAGGTCAGAAAGAAAGAAAGGCAGGCAGGCAGGACAGAGAGCCACCATGAGTGTGAGACTCCAGACTTCAAGAGGGCAGGGGCTGATGGGCTTTGTGGACTGTTCTATCTTTGGCACTTGTAACAGCAGATCCAGGTAATGAACAAGGGAATGAAGGGCTGACTGAGCACAGTGGGGCAGGTACCAAGAGAAAGGAGAGAAAATGTAATAAGAAAAAATAAACAAGAGAAAAAAAAAGAAACCCTAATATTTTAGTGGGAACATACACCTTTTAGAATGATGGGGACGGCAGTCTTGGAAGACAAATCAAATCAATTTTCTTTAAAGCCGTTAGTTAATTCATCATCACTAAATGACAAGTGCTGTGCTTTGCTGAATATGTCCCCTTCCAAGGCTCTGTCTGAGCTGGTGAGAGCAGCCGGTAGAGTGCACTGAGGGGACTTTCCAATGTGACCATTGGTGCCCGCATTGAGGTAGTGATGGCACAGTGAGGTCCAGGACAGCTGTGCCCTCAGCTCACATTGACATGGGGTCAGTCTTTGGGCAGTGAAGACTGTCAGTGGCACATGTCACCTAGCTAACCTCCAGGCAAGCTCATGGTCCATACTCTCATCTCGCCCAGGAGGCATGAGGCCACCGTCAACACCAGTAAGCCCCGGTCAAAAGAGTGGGAAAGAAGGGCTTGGAGAGCAGGGTGGGGGGTGGGCTGCCTCAGCTCACACACCTGGAAAGCAGTGACCCCCTGGGTCAGGATACAGAGTGAGAGCCTCTGGCCTAGAGCTGGGGAAACAGCTCACCCCTGCAGCCCCTTCTTCCTGGCACCCCCTGCTGTCAGAGACCAGGCTGCCTGGGAGCTGGTCCTCAGGCCTCCCTGGCTCTCACTCAACACTAAGGATGAGTGCAGAAGGATTCCCTCACCTATTATTATTATTATTATTAATTATTCAAAGGCCTAAGTGACCTGAAGCTCATGAAGGAAGATTCTCTTATTTGATCAAGCTCATGTGAGGCTGCACCGTGCTCTTCTGGAACACCCAACCAACAATGCGCCTTGCGACGTTTATTGACTGCTGGGCTCATGCAGAGAACTATCCCTTTTCCGGTTTAATCAACAATTCCTCCCAGAAGCTGGAAGTTTTCTGCACCCTATTTAGAATGAACTCTCACAGGACAATAACCATGCTCCTTTCATTCCTCTTCTTCTGTCCTGGCTGTGAGCGTCCCCAAGGGGCGGTCTCCCTGCTTTCCTAAGAGGCCACACTGAAGCAAGGCAGGGTGATGCCGGAGGGAAGGTGTTGAGCTTGTCAGCAAAGTCAAGGGGCCAAGAGTGGCGGGGAGTCACTGCAGGGAAGGGCACACTTCCTGACTCCAAAGGCAGGTCAGCGCCAATCAAACAACACTCCCCCGCCTAAACAGCTTCTCAGTCTGACGATCTATACCCTATCATCAGTTTCTGCTGCTTGGCCAAGAAGATTTTCCGAAAGTTGTCAGCAGTGAGGACATTGGTGGCCCTTCCTCTTAATCCATCCTGCTGTATGGCAGTCATCGCTAACAAATTCCGGGGGGGGGTTGAAGAACAGGAGCAGACGAAGAGGGAGAGCAGCCTCTGAAACATCTTCGGGAGGCATGCGGGAGGCATCCTGGCCACCCCCTCCAAGAGCCAGCTGAAGTACCCCATGGAGCCTTCGAGGAGGCTTTTACGGCTCACGTTCTGGTTTTTCAATAAAAATTACTCTGAGTCTGCCCTTGGCCATCTCGGACCCTGGAGCCTCCTTTCTTGGAAACAGCACAACTCTCCGAGTATTTTCACCCTTAACTCAATCTGGAGGTCTCCGCCACGGAAGCCTTTCTACTGCTCACGGGGAAGTCTGTACCCACAGGCCCATTTTCTCAGCTAGCCCCAGAGTGGGTTGATGTAGCTGAAGGCAGAGGACTTCCCTCTCCTTTGGTCCTCCCCGAGATCCCTGACACTGAGAGGAAAAACTTTATTTTTCTATGGGCTAATGAAACAACACAATGTCCTCTAACATCTTTTTTCCTCTGTAAAAGACCAGAATTGCACAGAAAGAGGCCCCCGGGAGGAGAGAGAACAGTCAGTAGCCAGCTTGATTTTACAGTGAGACCCACATTTCTTCCCCTGCTCACTTTCTTCATTAACCAATTTTCCTTCTAACTCTTGAGTTACAAAAGAGAAATTTACAAAGACTCCAAATGCCCTTAGAAATCAAGATGAAATATGCAATGTTAGTACTATTCAAATTGCGGCATTTATTCTCCCTAACCTAGAACTGTGTATGTACTCAATAAATGTCAGAAGAAAGGAGGGCAGAGGGGAGCAGCCTGGGGCCAGGGGATGCTGGTAAGCCCTGTGCCATTGCAACTTAGGGCAAAAGAAGGTCAAGGAGGGCCTTTAACAACTCTCATATTGCTTTCCAAGAGAATGCGGAATTTAACTCAAAATAGGTCTGTACTATGCAAATAACATATGCAAAGTTTGTGCAATAAATATTTTTGGATAAACTTCTTGATAAATTCCTAATTTCCTTTCCCAAGACTGAGCTTTGGGCTCCTACAGTTTTGGCATTTGGAATTAAGCATCGACATGATACAGAGGGCAAAGCAGGTCAGGAGCAAAGGGTTCCTGAGTTCAGGAAATGCATTCATGACTTGACTGCTTAAAGAGCTTTACAAACTAATCTGCATGACCAAGACCATCAGAAAGCAGAGGACTTATTTCTCTGAGCACCTAAGCTCATGCAGGAAATCTCAGCAACAGTATTATGGAGCTAGAAGTACAAAAATTTGAAAAAAAAAAAAAAACTTTAAAAGAAACAGTGCAGTCCATTGGTTACCTGGGGCCTAACTCATCCTCACACCGCCATGTGAATTCTCCAAAACTCTCATAGTGCTGGTTATAGTGGTAGAGAACTCGATGTAAAGTGGGGGAACCCAGATCCAGGAGGGTGTTGTAGGCAGTCTGTTGCTCTTTCCCGCTGGTATAGCCATTGAAGAGATTGTAGATCTTATCTGCTATTTCTGAGGAGGGAAGAAAAAGCAAAGGAACCATGCATCCTTTAATGAGGGGTCTGAGACATTTCAACATTATGCAAACATCAGACTTGCACAAACATAAAGTGTACGGCCTACTGCACACCTAAGCTTTGTGCTCCATGCGGACTACAGGTTCCCAGGTCATGATGCACGAAACAAGAAGAGATTAAGGCGCAAGAGAAAGGGTGCGTCAGGGGACGTGGTGAACAAGAGATGTATGCAGCTGCGGTTGGCGCAACATCTCTACAAGTGGGAGTACTCTAAAATAATGACAAAAAATAGCATATAGTAAATATACAAATCAATAACATAGCCATCTATTGCCAGATCTAGTGTTACGTTCTGCACATAAGTGCATGTGCAAGACTTTTGTATGACTGGCAGTGTAGCTGGTTTGTTTGCACCAGCGTCACCACAAACACACAAGAATGCATTCTGCTGGTACAGCATCATGATGCCACAACGTCACTATGTGAAGACAGGAATGTTTCAGCTCCATTATAATCTTATGGGACCACTGCTGCATAAGCCGCATGTCTAGCATTGACCAAACAGTGTTCCACAGCATGTAACTATCAATAAGGTTTCACATATTTAATATATATGCACATGTGTGTTTGTGCATGCATATGTGTCTTCATATGCACATGTTCATGTGTGCGTGTGATGTTAAAGAATACCCAACCTAAAGGCTGGAGAAAATGGTTTGTATGATTCAGTTTGCCTCTGCCCCACCAACCTTCAGTTTTATCTTGTTTAAGATAAAAGTGTTCAACTAGGATACCTCTAAGGTCGAGTTCAGTCACAATACTCTGTCTCTACCCAGGTTTCCTAAAGGTTTGTAACCTGAGGCAAAAACTCGAATATTCACACTTGATTGGCAGATGCAATCCCAGGGAAGCAGGAGGAAAGAGAAAGAGAATGAGGCAAGAAACAGGGAGAGGAGTACACAAGGTGCTCCGAGGGACTGGCCACATCCTCCTGAGAAGCCGGCTGCTGCATTTTGTCTGGAGCCCCTGGATCTCTAGTGTTCTCTCCAGAGGGAGAAAGAAAGAAAGGAAGGAAGGAAGAAAGGAAGAAAGAAAGAAAGACCAGCTCCCGTCCAAGTTCGCTCCCCTGAGGATTATAGCCCTGCATTTCTAGGTTGCACATGCCTGGGTATGAGTGGTCTGCAAAAGTGACGGTGGCCCAAGCCGCCAGTGGCCTTTGCTCAGGCAAGAAGTGAAGCACCAGCAGGTCACTGGTGAGCTGCGTGGACCCCGGGAAGCAATTCTGCGGAGGCAGCACCTCTGCCAGAGCCCCCTAGGGCAGACAGAAGACGTGGCCTCTAGAGCACTCTGCAGCTCCACGTGAGTCCTCTTTCAGTGAGATTTATCTTTCCAGTATTTTGGCCTCAAAGAGGCCTGAGTTTGGTGATGTGGCAGAGGGACACAGTACAATGTTTCCTTGTGCAGCTCACAGCACTGGACCATCACACGCCTTCTCATTAAAGCTGCAGAGAGGAGACCTACTGACTCGGTCTTCCTCGACGGCTGGGAGCAGAGCTGGGGAAGCAAGGCTTGTCTCGCCCGGCGCTGACCCTAGGGATGAAGAAACACGTCCCCGGGAGCCAAAGCCTTCGCTCCCCCTGAGGCTCCATGAGAGGAAGGCAAAGCAGCCCGCTCCTTGCCACAGCCCCACGTGGCTGCAGGGCTCCTGGCAATGGCAGCTGCACCCAGGAGTGTCCTGGGTGGGGGGAGTGAACACACATTGACCTCCATGATATATGCCACCATCTGAAATAGGAGATATTTCACTCTCTGGTCCTGTGCAGCTGTTCTCTGGCTTGTCTACCTTGTCCATGTCTGTGAGGACAGAGCCAGATCTGAACTTCTTGGTGCCCCCAGGTAGCTAGCACAGGGCCAGAAAATACAGTAAAATCCAAAATGTCAGCTAAGTTCATGGAACTCATGACCTTGGGTGCAGTATGAGTCCACTTCAGGGGCAGGCTTCTCCGGCAGGTTACGTCACCCCTTTAGCAACATAACTTAAAGCCGACACATTTCTCTGCACTAAAAATAATTTTGCTTCAGAAATCATGTAGATTTTCAGGTTGTTAAAATGGGATCAAGACATAAAGTGGACAGTGATAGATGATGATCTGTGGTGTCTCTGGTTATTTATTAAAGACCTGTGAGTGCTAAGAACTTTACATACATGAATTTCAATTCTTACCCCTCCTGCAGATGGATTTAAATGTCCCTGTTTTATAAATAAGGAGATTCAGAAAGGCCCAGTTACCTGCCCAAGGTCACACAGCCAACTTAGGCTAGAGTTGAAGTTCTAAAGTGTGTCTATCTGCCATTGCTATTTCACACTGACACTAGGTAGTTGGCTGTGTCTAGCCAGTTTAAGGCATAGGAGGCCCAGTCTTGGGGTGAGGAATCTGGAGTGACTGTCCCTGGTAGAGGACGTGGTTCTGATTGGACCTAGGTGTAAAGTCAGTGGATCTGAGATAGAAGGAAGCAGGGGGCTGTTCTAAGAGCTACTCGGTGGGAGACAGGCCGGGCGGCTCAGACAGGAATGACCAGGGCAGGGAAAATGGGAACAGACAGCAGCTTGGCCAACCCCTGCTCTGATGCCACTGTGTTAGTTCTTACAAGGGGAAACGGCCCAGATCCCAGGCTCGGGTGTGGCACTCTCTGCTGAGGAAGGACAGTGGCAGGGGACGTGATTCCTGGCACCTTTGCCGTTATCACACATCCTGTTCAGAGCCCTCAGGGCTCTCCCAGGCAATCCCAGGATCCAGTCTCCATGACAGCCAGGCCCTACCTCACCTGCCCCAGAGCCTCTGGGAGCACCTGCCCTGCCCCGTTCCTCTCTTCAAACGTGAACCAAGGGCCGCAAGCTTTCCTCTTCTTCCAACAAGCCACGAATCTCGGTACTGCTGCTTCTGGTATGATGTCCCCTGGATATCTATGGCCTCCCCCTTCACCTCTGCCCAAGCCACCGCAGCCAAAATGCACCCGGCACTTCCTCTGCCCTACCCCACGCAGTGACCTCCATGAGATACGCCATCGTCTGAAATAGGAGACACTTCACTCTCGGGTTGCTGTCGTCTGTCGTCCCTGCCCAGATATGACCTCCAGGAGGCCAGGGCCTTGTTCCTAATGTCTGAGATAGATATTTTGTAAGGACCAGATATTTGTTGGATAAATTAATATTATATTAATTTATCCAGCAAATTATTATTATATAATTATAATATTAAAAGATAAATACATAAAATCTGATGAAAAACTTCTCAAAAAAATCGATCAAGTCTGATTATTTTTGTTTCTTCAGCCTCTAATGCCAGGATTGATAAGTAGCTCTGGAAGCAGCAAATAAAGGAATGGCCATGTGTCGATGCCTGGTGCCAGGGAGGGCGGCCGGGTGACGAGGAGGACTGGCGCTCCTCGTGGTGGAGCTCGGGGCCCTGCCCAACCCTCACGCTGGCCTGGGGGACGAGCTCACCACCACCACCACGAGCTGGCACCTGCTGGGGTTGGGTGGGTCTCGGTGGCACACATGGCCATTGCTGGCGCCCCCAGATGGAGCACAAACGCCCAGTGGCTTTACCGTCCTGATGGGATAAGAATTCCTAGAAGGTATTTCCTTTAGGAAAGATCTTCACATAAAGGAGAGCGTCTGGCCTCTGGCTGGGTAATTAGGAGCTGAAGTCATGCTCGGGGCCACTTAAAAGGCAATTCCCATTTGTTATTAGATTTAAGCTCAGACCCGAGCGGATGATGGTATTTATGGTCTCCATCTGGGTGTGAGGGAGGGAGGCACGTGGCTTTTTCCGCAGAACTGCTAGAGCTTATTAATCTGCAAGGATCCACCAATTAGTCCAACTCGTTAATCTCCAGATTTGCCTGGTGCAGGATTCCTCCTGGCTGAAGGGTCCAGGGCTTGAAAGGGTTATTTCACTCTCTCTGCACGAACTTGGCTCTTGTGCCCGAGCTGGTCTGCTGGGATTCCAGGGAGTTTTCCGGGGGCAGCACAAGCAGGGGACATCTTGATCCACCCTGAGGGACTGCAGCTGACCCCAAGGAGCCCCAGACAGAACAGGGTCGAGCTCTGTGCCTGGCCAACTGCTTGCCACCAACCACCCTGCAGGTTGCACATGCTACCTCGCTGCCACCTGCTGTCACCACCCTGTCCTCCCCAGCGTGCCACCTACTCGGCAGAAACCATGGTGGATGCCACCACCTGCAAAGTCACCTGCAACCTTTCCAACACAGAAAAAGCTGAGGCACCTGTGGTCACCTGCTTCCCTGCAGCTTAGAGGAAGAAATGGAGGCCTGAGGACCCCTGAGCTGCCCCAGGCACTCCTCTCGGGGACAGTCCCATCCTGCAGCACATCCCAGTGACACGCAGGGTCCTGAAGGAAGAAGCTTCTGGTCTCCTTTCTTAGGTAAGCTTTCATTTTTCATCAACGTTTAGAAATAGAGGAAACGTTTTCAATCTTTCGCAAAACAGCCCTCAGAGTATTTAGTGTAACGGAGTAAAAGTGGGACTCCGGGTCAGCTAGTCCCCGACTTACTCTGAACCTCAGTTTCCACAGCTATGAAATTCACTTTCCTTTAATTCAGAAAATGCTGAGTTCCTATTGAAGGGCAGACTCTAGGCACTCATGTAGCTTTTTAAATTATCATTTTAGATTACTTAACTCAGTTCCCACTAGAACCTCATTGGTTGGGGTACGCACAGATGAGCAAATATCTGAGGCCAGAGTTCTCAAGGTCAAGAAGGTGGATGATGGAGTAGGAGTGTGAACTTGAGCTGTTGCCTTCAGGGACTGAGTTCTGAGGTCAGCCAGCCAACCACGCTGCCTTCTAGGTGATACGGATATAATGGGGTAGGAAAGAGGCTGGGCTCCTGCCCTCATGGGGCTCACTCTCTAGTGAGGTAAACAGACATTGTAATTGTTATAATAAGCAACAGGAAGGGATGTCCTGAAGGAAAGAAACAAGGACACCTGACCGTGACTCCTGCCCCATCGTGGCCTGCGGAAGCAACACTGTGGAACATGCAGGCTGAGATGTGAGGGTGGGGAGCACTTGAAGTGATGGGACCAACTTGTGCAAAGGAATGCAGAGACTGACCAAGTGGGCAGGGGGTGGGTAAGGAGGTGCTGGAGATGTGGATGGACAAGGGCCATCCATGGAATTTCTAACATGACTATTAACAATTTTTTTTTTGTCACAAGGGGAATGGCAATTTATTAAGGAGTCTGCATGGAAATCACACCTTCAATGTGCCATGTGGGTTAAACCTGAAAAGGTTCTCACAAGTCGCACAGTGCTACGGTATCTGTGGTTTTAACTAAAGCAGGTCTAGGTCACTATTCTGCCTGACTTCGTATTATCCTGATGTCACCCTTTGGCATTCTGGGATTGTGACCCTGCTGATCAATCAGATGACAACCAGAGTCAGGAGCCCAAGTAAGATGACCCTCTTGGAATCTGACAGCCTACTCTTCCATGGGTTCATGTCTGTGTCGATAGGCCAAAGCCATGAGGTTGATTCTACCCGATAGATACTGACGATTGATCAGATCACTCTAACTAGTGTGGAGCCCTGCAGAAGGGTGACCAGGCCGAGGGAATTCTAGGTGTGTGGGGTGTGAAAACCTTAGAGCAGAGATGGTGCAAGACCAGCCTGGGAGCGCCCTGTGAGTGATGCCTGCTGACTGCAGACCAACTCTTCCCAATTGCCAGAGCCAACCCTGGTGTGTGTGTGCGTGTGGGTGTGAGAGCATGCGTGTGTCTCAGGGAGGTGGGCTTGTACTGAAGAGGGACAAGTCTAACAAGAACTGAGCTACAAGCACTTGCAAAGGGAGGGAGGGGGATGTAACGATGACTCAACCTGCAGCCTTGCTCCGCTGCGGATCAGAGCAACATCAGACGCACAGAGACTAAGAAGAGGCCCGTGGGCACCTTCGGGCGGGCTGCAGGTTCCAGGCACGTACTTTAGCACCAGGTGCCAGGGCCTCCTCAGTGCCTCCTGGGCCTCCCTGACCCTGGCCTGGGGGATGATGGCGTATGGCATGGCAGAGGGCAGAGGCTGAGGAGGAACGCTGGGAAGGAAGTCCGGCATCTGCCGGGCCTGGCTGTCTTCCCCTTCCCACGACCACCCCCTTCAGGTGGTTCTGCAGGACACCTGTGGCCCCATCACAGCAGGGGAGGTCTCTGGGCACGCCTGGCGGACGCTGCTGACCTTGGTCTCTTACCTTGGGCTTTGACATCGTCCACCACGGGACACGGGGTCTTCACAATCACGTCGCTTGGCCTGGAGCGCCGGCCCGTGTTGTCCACGCCCCACAGGGTAAACCTGGCAGGGAGGCAGAGCAGCGTTGGCAGAGGACACTGGCTGGGGTGGGGGCTCTGAGCCCTGGTGGAGCCCAGCCTCTCCTGAGGGGCAGGTTGTGAGCCCGGCTGCGGTCCCCATCCTGAGGCCACCTACCGCCATCACTCAGGTCAGAAGCACCCAGCCCACGGCCTCTCCCTGCTTCCTGTGGCCTGGGCCTGGAATCTGCTGTCCCGGTGCACTATCTGTGGACAGCCCCCTGGTGTGGGCCCTGCTGTCCTCGTGAGGCCCGGACCAGCAGCCTCAGCACCCTGCGGGAGCTTTCTTGGCCTCACCCCAGACCTACTGAATCAGGCTGGGACCAGAAACCTGTGCTTTACCGGGCCTTCCAGATCTCCTCTCTTCTATTTAGTGGTTTTTTTTTTTTTTAAATCTTTTCCTTCCTTTTTTATTTTATTTTTTTCCATTTTTTTAACATGGAGTCTCTCTATGTTGCTCAGACTGGTGTTGAACTCCCGGGCTCCAGTGATCCTCCCACCTTGGCCTCCGAGTAGAGGACCTACAGACCCGCTCCACCACCTCTGCCTCCCTTCCAGGGGATTCCGATGCCGGTTTAATTGTGTCAACTACTGAGCAAGAGAGTTTATGTCCTTGGAAACAGATGGTCAGAACTTGGCCACGTGGAGTCACAGTAACTCCCCGAGCTTTAATTCCCCTTATCTGTGAAGAGGGATGATAATAAGATCAGTGGCTTCGGTGTGAGATGAGATGATCATGCGCAGAAAGACCTGGGACATCACATGGTGACACAACATGAACCCTATCTGCTCCGCTCTGCACCGCCCTGTGCTCCCCTGACACTTCCATGCAGGACCAAGGACAGATTCTCTCTTTAAAGTCAGAAGCACAACAGCCAGAGTGGAGGGTCCCTTGGCTTGCTGGTGGCTGGACCCTGTGTGGCCCGAGTGCAGCTCTCTCTGCCCTACCGAGCTGCTGCCCACTGTGGGCCAGGAACCCAGCGGGAGGCTGCGCCCCGACAACGCGAAGACATGTTCCAAGGAAACCTCCGGAGCAGTGTGGGGACTTCGCCATCAGAGACTGCACGCAGAACTTCCTGCCCCATGATGGAACTGGAGGGAGAGGAGAGGGGAGAGTCGAGGGCCTGCGACTCAGAGGCTTTTCAACATAACCGGAGAATAAAGCCTGGAGTTTCCCAGGACCTCCAGAGGACGGGCGTCTATGGGACATCAGGAGTGCTGCCCTTTTTGCCTGTTTCCCTCCACTGTGGCCACAGGAGGCTGGGATTTATTGGCAAATGTGGGCTTTTATTCCTCCTGGCAGAATTACAGGGAGGGACAGAGGTGAAAGGAGGAGAGATGTCACAAGGTGGAGTGGCCCAGGTAAACGGTAGCTGGGCCCCAGAGTTGAACTGGTGAAGATGACCTCATGACTCTCAGGAAATACGTGTTCCTCATGACCACCACTCCCTCTCCATAAAGAGACCCAGAGAATGGTCGGAGCAAGGACCCGTGTGCCGGGAGATGTCATTCGTCCTCTTCTACCTCCCAGAACCCCCACACGGGCATCCCAGGGACTCCCGAGCAGGCTCCATCCACCAGCAACCCTGCAGGTAGTGACCCGCCTGTGTCCAGCACTGTACAGCCCACACCACAGCTGGTGGATTCCTAAAGGACTCCCCGCCCCCTCACTGACCAATCAGGACCAAGCACTCGGCGTTCCCACCCTGTCTGCAAGGGCTCACTTCAGTCCCCTGGCCTGTGCTTCTATGCTGTGGTCAAGGGCCTCACCTAGCACCAACCTGTTAGAGTCTGTAAACAAGTCTGGATGGCGCCTGGCATTTTGCCAGAGGGAGTGGTTTGTGAAGTAACGCCAGCGAGCCATTAAGTGTGGAGATTCCTTATGGGTTGACTGCTGTATCGAGTTTATGTTAATTAGATAAGCTGTGTGGAATGTATAAATACCCCTCCTGTCCTACAATAAACGGCTCCCACTCCTGCTGTATCAATGTACACAAGTTGCTCGTCACCCCCCAGGTTATTTTGCTGCAGCCGGACTGCGGCACCAACCTCCACCTTGACCCGTGAACTGGGGGTCCTGCCGCCCTTCCCTCCTGCCACCAGCCACACACTTCCCAGGGACAGTGCTGGGCTAGCCCTGGCCGCCATGGCCTTTCCTCTCATGCATCCTCAGCATCTTGGTCCTGTTTCTAGAATTACGGGTGAGGACACCAAATCCAGGAGCTGGTGCCCTGATCAGACATGCCTGGCACCAGCTCCACTTGGAGTCTAATCTCACACCTGGTCTTGGAGCACGTGCCCATTCTCTCTCCACACACTTGTTCCAGGCCACCTTTAGCAGAGCTTCCCAGGGGTGGACCCAGAGCTACCAGGGGCATGTGCAGACTTGTAACTCGTGGTCTGGATCCCATGCTGAGAAGCTCCCAGGGGCCCTTACGAAGTACAGGAAGGCACAAAGTCCAAGGATCTAGTGTGGCACACACCTGGAGAGGACCCTCCTCTAGGGAGGGAGTTCGTTTCCTGCCCAGGGATGGGTGGCTCGACCTTTGTTGTGAAAGCTTCCCTGACTCTGCAGTTGCTCTTATCGGAACCAGGAGGCACAAAGCCCTGCCTCCCCAGGCTGCTGCCCTAGGGCTGGACTGGCCATGGGCTAGGGCAGAACCTGTTGGACTCTCTTGGTTCCACCAGCACGTGTTCTCCCTAATTTTGTCTGTCCACACTGTGAGCCCTGCCCTGGGATCCATGGCTGAGGCCCTGCAATCCAGTCCTGCTTTTCTTTGCTTTTTCTCCTTCCCGGGCCCTGAGCGTGGCCTTGGAGCTCCAGGTCAGGGCTGCAGTCTGGTCATCCTCTAGCAGGCTCACCTTGCGGCCCACCATGTCAATCCGAGTCCCATGATTTCGGGCAGATTCCCTGGTCCAAGTCCTTAGCCTCAGGTACTGACTTGGCTGCCAGATGAAGCCTCACTTGGTGTCTGACTGGACTCACTTCCCAACTCCAAGCTTGCCCCGCTCCTCTGGGCAGCTCCACGTTATACCTTGCCTGACTGTAAATTCCAGTTGGAACGAAAGCGCCTGTGCTTACATTAATTCTCATGTGACTCTGGGCAATTATCATAAAAATTAGGTTCCCAACCTCTAAACGACTTTTATTTTAAATTTTAAACCATATTTTATTTTATTATTTTTTTTATCTTTTTTTTTTTTTTTGGTGGGTATGAAGCAAATACTAGGGAAGAAATGCTCCGTGCAACCTTCCCAGTGAAGACGGAGCTGGACCTGAGGACCCAGCTCCTCGGGCCCTGGGGATCCTGAGGAGCGGCCAGTTTGTTGTGCGGTGAGGGCCAGGAGCACACGGCACATTTTCATGTGGAAATGCCACGTGCTGTCATTTCAGGAAGGCTTCTCTGTTTATTGTCAGCATCATCGTTTCTACCATTGAACACTCGCAGGACAGTAAGAGGGTTAGCTGGGATTACTGGGTAGAAGAGATAAGCCTTGCTCCCAATCCAGGGGGCTCAAGTGTAAGTCCATTTACTGCTTCGTCTGAAGCTTCTGGGCTCCTGCCATGGCCGCGGGGCTGGGACTGTTCCGTGCGTAGTTAGAGTTGTGGTGATGACATTGGTGAGGGTGTGTGCGTGCGGCACTGGCTGGTTTGGCTCCAGAGCTGGCTCTGAGAGGCCTGGAACTTAATGCGCAGGGTAATCGCAGGCCTCCAGTCGGGCTGCTTGCCTGCTTTCCCTCTCCAGGCCTGGTGTCTGCTGATCCCATTCCTGAATTATCTGTCTGCTGTCACGTGTCCAGAAGTCAGAGGCTCTCCTGTGGGTGGGTGTGGTGATGAGGGGACAGTGGGCTGGAGGCCTGGGGGCCACCTTCCCATTCTGTAAGGGGAACGGGTTGGACAGACTCACTTTAGGATTCCTCTCAACCGGAGGTTCTTAACCGTGTTTGTGCCCTGGACATTCTCAGAATAGGGCGTTTTTAAATGCCCTAAATAAAATACATCAGAGGACTAAGGAAGCCGGCTGGAGGCAGCTTTCCCTCTGTGGCCCTTGAGGCCAGCTCTTGCCTTTGTGTGCCCTAGTCAGACCGAGCTGCTAGGTCCTCACTGTAACCTGGGCGGCTGGGGTAAGACACAGCGGGGGGGGGGGGGGGAACCCCAGACCCTGATCCAATTCCTATCCATCGTCCACACCCCAGATAACTAGCTGCATGATTCTGGGGATGTCACTCAGTTCTGCTCAACCTGTTTTCTCAACTCTAAAACAGGAATAACTCCACGCTCACAGGGACAAAGAGGATTCCCAGACACACCCAGGATACAGCACCCGGTCAGCTCCCCTAGCTGCCTTCCTCCTGTTCTACAGATAAGAACGCTCCTTGCAGAAAGCTTAAGGCTCTGACAGTCCCTTGGTGGCTAGAAACAAAACCAGGCTTGGGGCCCCACGTGTTCCCAGCTCCTCATCCAGGGCTCTCTCCCCGTCCCGGGGCCTGAAGCACAGGCTTCCCAGCATCTTTGAGAATGGGGAGTCCCTCCCAGGCCACCCACCTCACCCTCTCTCCGCGATCTGCAGCGCCACCTTGTGGAGGCCGGCGGTTCCTTCCTTAACCCCACGCAGGCAGGGTCTCCTTCAATAATCAACATTGACAGAAAGTTTGTGTCTCATAAGACACAGGAGGGGAGCACTCGGGGGTCACCAAGGAGAGTAGAGTGAGGACAGGAGGGGCCTGTGACCTCTGATCCGGAAACAAAGCCAAATCGGGCCGACATGAGTCACATCCCCGATTGGGTAAAGCCTGGCACTCCTGAAAGATTACTATGCCAACCTCCGGCTCCTTAGAACTGGGAAATCCCTAGGCAACAGTGGGCCGGAGCCCCTGAGCCCTTATCACCAAGGGTCATGTGAGTTTCCCTGAGTCTGGGAGGTTTGGCGGGGCTGGTGGTGTGAGTTCTCAGATCCTCTTTGTTTCCCAGGCTCTCCAGCAGGGGAGGACCACAGCTGTCCAGGACCAGAACTGGAATGAGGACCGTCCACCATCACTGGAAGAGCAGGCTGCCTCCCCTGGTCTTAGTACTGTCACCTACACCTGCACACACGTCCCCATCCCCCAGACGTCCCTTGTCCCCAGGTGTTTCGCTGTCTCTACGCATGGCCTCCACTTCCGGCTCTTACTAGTGCACTGAAGGTATTCAGCCAGAGCAGTAAGCTCACGGCCATCAATGCCACTCGAATCCCCAGCACTTTCGTCTTTGAACTCTCTCACTGTGGAAATGGAAATGATTTATTCTGGAAACCCTGACTCTCTTCCTGTGACCTCATCTGTAAACTGTGAAATGCTTTTCATACTGATGGGGTCAAAAGGCCCCAGCACCGCATCACTGGGAGTTCTGCCTTCGCCCCCAGATTTTTCCATCATGACTTAGATTCTATCACGATCTCTCCTCTTTTGGCGTCTTTTATGCCTCTGCTTCACAAATATTGTCCGATTGTTCCGAGAGCACAGGGAGAGATGGGGAAGGGATCACCGAGAGAATAGGCGTCATTCACAATACTTTCTTTGAAGAAAAATGCCGGCCAGTTCTAAGTTCTATAAATTATTTCAGTGCCACTAATGCTAGCTTTCTAAAGCACAATTCTTGATGTTCTTTCCTCAAAAAAAAAAAAAAAATCAATGTTCTCCTCTGACGTTCGGTGTTCACCAATTCTGTCTGCCTCAGTTTCTTCCGTTGCCTCTTACTCAGGTGCCCGCTCCCCCTTTGGTCCACTCGCTACTTTCCTTCGTGCCCCTTTGTGCCCCTTCTCCTCTGCCCTTGCTGTGTCCTCAGCCTGTGTTCCCTTCTCCGTGCTTCTCCAGCTGTGGACGTCTAAGGACCTGGGTAGAGGCCATCTGCTCTGGTTGGGAGGAATGGCTTCCCTCTTTTTTCTTCAGTGTGTTCCTTGCTCTTCTTTCAAACATTTAGCCATTCCACCTTATGTTCAAATCCGTTGTTTATATGTCTGTCCTCTACCTTGCCACCCCCTGAAGGGACAGGATGGTTGTCTTCCTAGATCCTACCAGTGCCTAAGCATTCAAGAAGGTTCTCTCTAATGGCTCCTTGGGAACAAGACTTCAGAGCCTCCAAATCTTTTGCCAAGACTCTAAAGGAACCCAAGTAGCTAAGGGGGACCAGTAAAGAGCCTTGAACATTTCGGGCAAAGAATCTCCAGGCAGGGGTGGGTTACTCACATGTAAATGGTGTCGGGTTCCAGGCATCGAATGATGAGAGAGATGGTGGTGAGCTGCTTGTCTGGCACCTGAGATGGCATGGCACAAGGGGACTTTGCTCCAGAGATGATGTCGTCCACGAAACTCAACACTGTTTCTATCCAGAGGGAAAGAATTGGAAAAGGCATGAGAAACTGAAGGCCAAACAATGACAACATACAATCAACTCAATGAGAACTTATCAAAATTGGTCAATCCCAATCTCCTTAAATTCCTAGTTTTTTTTTTTTTTTTTAAAAAAGGGGATGAGGAGAGACCCAGAGGAATTTTTTTTTTTAACTGTTTCTTATTTAGCCTATCAGTTTAGACCTATTCTTCCTGAGCTGGTTCAGAAACAACCTAGGTAAAATGTACAGACCGTATCTGTGAACTCTCTCATGAGACATTCTTGCAGTGGACAAAGCCTAGCTACTTTGGCCGGTGGGTCACTGCCGTGCCTCAGTGATACCTGTGTATCCCAGAAAAAGGACCTCAGGAGGAGCTGTAGACCACTCCCCAGGCCTGAAGGCAGTCACCTGGTGGACCCACGTGTGTCTCAGTGGCCAGTTCACCAGAATCTATTTACCCTGATTGTGGACATGGCCATCCTGATGGGGGACGGCATCTCAGCATGAGTCTCAGGGGTGGTGTTGACCATTTCCTCTGCATAGACAGGGAGATAACAAGGCCTGGGACATTTTTCATGGTGCCTTTCCATTCCTTTAAGGCTTCCCTCTCTCCCTTGGACCCAACAAAAACAGAGTTTGCTTTAGGACAAAACCTGGAGCCAGCGCATCTGTTTGCACATGCTTTCGCCTGGAGGGGGTTATTAGCAAAGAAATTTTTTTTTCTGTAATCATGAGAGTGGTTAGCAGAGAATTGTTTCCTAATTGTGGGCGAGGATAACTAGCATACTGTATTGCTGTTTCTTTGTGAGTGGGCCTAGAGGCAATGAAATGGACACCTCTTTTATAAACAAAAAGAGAGGCAAAATCAAAACAAGACTCTTGGACGCTCCCCACGCAAAGACTCTTAAATGGACGAGACAGGCTGCTGCTTGGAAGAGACAGCAGCTGCAGCTTCCCTGTCCTCCCACACTGCTCTGGGTCCCGGGGACGGGGGCCGAGCCGGAGGCTGGGCGTTCTTCTTTAATTTTTACCTTAGATGTAAACCAGCCCACGTGCAGGGCACGCTCACCTGTCTCCACTTTAGAGTGGTCCATCCTGTCGGTGACCTTCTCTTGACGGATGAGGTAGTCCACAATCTGCACCCCGATTGGTGGCTCTGAGTGTTCCCACTCCAGGACCACGAGGGTGCTGCTGGGCTCATGAACCGTGGAGAGTCTCAGCCTATGTGCAGACAGGAGGGGACATGAGATGGGGACCCAGCTCAGACCTGCACTGGCCACTGGGCACCTTCTCAACTGGCACATGGTATACTCTTCCTTTTTCGTTTTTCTAAAATGTTTATTTTTTAGTTGTAGTTGGACACAATACCTTTATTTTATTTATTTATTTTTATGTGGTGCTGAGGATTGAACTCAGGGCCTTGCACGTGCTAGGCGAGCGCTCTACGGCTGAGCCACAACCCCAGCTCTTCTTGCTTAAGCTACTAAAATGATTTCCCTGGAGGCCCATCTCTTTCACTAGATAGTATGTTTCTTCAAGATCCTTGATATGTGATTTATGCCTCTAAGCACCTGTTACAGATTAGGAACTCAATGAACATTTGTAAGTAAATAAACAGACAAATAAAAATAAATGAATGAATGTTACATGGGTAGGGGTAGTTTTGGAAAATTCTCAGGATCCAGTGGTCTAAAAAGAAGTGGGGAATCGGAAGCAGGAGGGAAACCCGAGTCCCCTATAAAGCCCTTATAAAGGTATGCCTTTATATGGCTTGAAAATACAATTTCTGGATTTCTTTTGAGAAATTTTAAGACAATGTGTGTCCTCCTGAAGGTGGTGACCAAGGGAACCTTGCATTAACAAGGCCACACTTAGTTTAGGTTCTGTAGCATCACTGGGATCTGTCCTGTCGTCCTTGACCCCCCTCCTGCTTCTTCCCCATCTTCCACCAGCAGCTTGGAAGTGGTACCCATGGAGGGCTTCAGAGGGTGTGAGGACGCTGTCGAGTTCTCCCTGGCCAGTGTCCTAAACCTGCCTGTTCAGTTCTGGTTCGTTTTGCCTTTGCTCTTGAGTTTCTGTGAACCTGATGCTATAATTCCAGCATCTACTTGTATTTCGCAATTTGAAATCTCATTCTCTGCGAGTTGTCCACTTTGGCCACGGCTCTGCCTTGCCATCTCTTACCTCCTTGTACCTCGTAGAGTCTCAGTAATCATTGTTGACGTTCACTGGTGTGGACCTCCTGATTGTCCGCGTGGTTTCAATTCACTGCCTTGTTCTGACTTCTTCTAGGGGGCTCAGGTTTCCCTTCTGCTTCCAATTCCCCACTTCTTTCTAGACCACTGGATCCTGAGAATTTTCCAAGCTCCTGCTCTCTCCAGCCTCCCTAGGCCCCTAACAATTATCCCTGCCACTCACTCCTGTCCTCGGTTTCTGAATCCCACAACCATCTGCAATTCAGGCCCTCCTGCCCACCACTCAGCTCCCAGATGACTCTCATTGCTCTCAGGGACCACTGGGCAAGACACTGTGGATCACCTCAAACCATCTGCAATGTTCTATTTTAATTCAGTAAATATTTATGAAGTACCTGTTCCTTGCAAGGAAGTGCTGGATCCTAAGAACACAGTGGCTCTAGCCCCTACTTTTATGTAGCTTATTGGGTAATAGAAATATACAATTATACATGCTAAAAACTTCAGCAAGAAATCATAGGACACTGTGGGAGCAATAGTAAGGGGTTTAGCTAGTGGGAAAATAATTGAAAACACATGTTCTCCTGCTAGTGGCTACTATGAAGGAGCACATAGTTTGCATATGACATTAGGATGGAATAAACCCAAAACAGTGCGGATATTGACAAATTCATTAATTAGAGTCATATGCAGAATGCTATTTTGAAGAAAAAGTGCTAGGCAGCTTAAGTAACTAACTAAGCCTTCTGAGAACTCAAATTCTGTGAAAATATGGACTAAGACCAACCCCTATTGAGAAACAGAAGTGTGTGTGATTTACACAGACTTGTGTAAAATTAGAGTGTGTTTCTATTTCCAACTACCAATTAAAATGCAAGAAACTGATGTTTGTAACTGAAAGAAGTGATCAGAGTTGACAAGAAAAGTCAGGCACCTAATAGACATTTCCTGTTTATGATATTTTAACTCAAACTGCTCTTTAGCTATGATAGTTAGTAAATGCAGGTTTAGAGATGAAGCCAGCCTTGGGCCAATGGGTGGGCCTGTGTCTACCTGATAGCTTTTCTGGCTTCAATGGTACCTTTCAAAGGTGGCTTTCTACCTGGTAAGTCAGTCCAACAGCGTGAGATTCTGATGCACCCTTTCTCCTGGATGAAAGAACTCTGACTACTAATGACCTTGGTTCTCCTTTGACTCCAAAAGTCCCAATTATGATACAAAGAGCAAGAAGCCAGTGCTTGGTGAATCTAAAACCACCCACAGAGAGAAGGAAGACACTGGCTCGGAATGACACTCTACCAACATCTTCTCCTCTTTCCATTTTCTTTTTGCTCCGTCCTGGGCCTTTAACGTCCACCTCACTCCATGAAATAGGCCTGGCCTCCACCTCCTGCCTCCTGCTTCTGCTTACTCAGCCCTCAGTTACCATGGGTCCTGCTAGCTTTGGGATTCCTTGCTTTACCAACCCATGGGGTCTTGTTCCACCATTTTGTCCTACCAGCACTTTCTTTTGGATGCATATTCTGTGGCTTCACCAGCATGGCAGATGCCCTAACAGAGGCTAAGCAGAGTCCTGCCTTGGGCCCTGGCCCTCGGCTTGCCTTGTTCTGTTTAGTCTTCCCTGGATGGGGAGGATATTGGACAGGTTCACTCTCAGGCACTTCTGTAGCACCTCCTCCTCTTCACCCCTCAAATGCAGACACCCCTTAATGCTCATCTCCAACCCTCTGCTCCTCACAGTTAATACTTGCGCCAGAGCATCTTTTCACAGAGCTGTGGGCCCATCTCCTATGTGGGGGGATGGGCAGACATCTGGTTATCTCTGGTTTACTTTTTCCACAGAGCTCCATCCTTCTCTGCCCACTGACCATCTGCAGGACCATCCCCCACCCTCCCCTCCCACACACAGCTCCAGGCAAGCCCAAATAGAACTGGCCTCCACAGACCCACATAGCTTTGTGGCTTCTCTCTTTCCAGCCAGCCAGGTCTTAAGCCTGAAGGTCACTCTCAGCTTCTCCTTCCTCCTCAGGTGCACAGTCACCAGACCCTATTATTTCTACTCAAATCATCTATCAGTTTTGTCCTCCCATATTATAACGGATGGTGTTATGGCTTATATATTAGGTTTATATATGAGCTCATGTGTGAGACAATGCAAGAATTTTCACAGGTGAAAGGGAATGGAAGGTGTAACATATTCAGTGGATTAAACCACTGATATGGATTAACTGGGTGGTAATGATAGGCAGGTAGGGCATGGCTGGAGCAAGCAGGTCTCCCTTTGGGGTTTATATCTGCCATGTCCTGAACAGCTTCCCTCCACCATGCCCTTCCACCGTGTTGTTCTGTCTCACCTTGGGCCCAGAGCTATGGAGTCAGCCAGGCATGGACTGAACATCTGAAACCATGTACCAAAATAAACTTTCCTCCTCAGGTCTTTGGGTCACAGTGATGCAAACTGACAAAAGCAGCTGAGAACATGGCCTCTGGGTCATGGCCCTACTTCCCGCTCTATCACCTTGGAGAAATTATCCAATCCATTTGAAGCTAGTTCCTAGTCTATTAAATGGGGGGGGGGGTGGAGCAATATCTAAGTACTCTGCACAGTGCCAGGAGTGCAGTGAGTGTGTAATGGGTGGGAGTGTTGTTGGTCTATCAGATCTCACTGAAGACCTCTAACATCCTCCATTCAACAGCACTGTGACCCTACAACCTCTTAACCATCCTGCTGTTCCTTTTTCATATTCAAGGAGAAGTTCAAGTGCCACCTCTTCCATGAAGCCTTCACCATTGCCCAAATTTGGACTCCAGCCACTCCTCTTCACACTGTCTTTAAATGTCTGTAACACTTGTCACATTATCTCTTGTACAGTAACAGTTCCCTGAAAGCAGGTACCATGCCACGTTCTTCCTCCCAATCCTGAGTACCCAGCCTATTGCTCTGTAAACAGTAGACATTCAGTACTTCTCTGCAGACTGATGCAGAGGCATGCACACAAGAGAGAGGCAGAGCGAGGGAACCGTACACAGGCTGTGGGAGCGGTGCGCAGGTGGGGAGTCCGTCAGCCCCGAAAGCGGTGGAGTCGCAGCGACACCAGTCCTCAATGACGTCTCCAGTGCCCGAGCACCAGAGGGAGCTCATGGTGGCCTCCTGTAAGAGCTGCACAAGAGAGCAGAGAGTGAGCACCGGGCAGCCAGGGCTGGGTCGTCAGGACCAGGAGATGGCGTATCAAGCCTCTGCGTCACCCGGACTGATCTCCAGAGAGCGCATTGTGTCACCATCGCACCATTTTTTTGCTATGATTCTTATCTCAGGATAAGAAATTCTGGGGAGCTGAGCCCTGGAGAACCTTGAGGTCCCCCTCCTTTAAGCATAACAGCTCATCCCTATGGTTGAGAGGTGTCACCTTGGAGGCAAGACGTGCTCTACCTCCATCTCCCTCCCAGCGGGCTCCACCACTCAACCCACCAGCTCCAGGCTCCAGGAACAATGACGTCTTTCAACACGTCTCTGAGTGCTGGCCTGCCCCACTCCTTCCTCTGCCCAGAGGCACTCTGCCTTTTCAAATACCTCCATCTGCATCCTCATTTGCCGCCCATCTTGCCCTAGTATTCCCTTCCGGTTTCTTCAACACACTTTGTAAACCACTTACAAAATGCAACAAATTCTGCCTTGAGCCGCGGTGGGGCATTAGGCAACTCTTTCTCAATAGACCATTAAGGGGTGGGGGGGGGGAGCCATGTCTCACAAAGGCTGAGAAGTGCGCTTGGGGTCAGTGTGTCCTGGGTGAGAACTCCAGCTTTGTCAATCTCTGCCATGTGACCTGGGGCACGTTACATGAAGGCAGTTTTGTCAGTGATAAGGTAGGATAAAAATAGCACTTTCCTCATAGGGGTTCTGTGACAATTAAGTGGAATAATACATGCCAAGTGAAATAACATAAGTACAGTACCGGGCACACATTAGTCATCATTAAATGCTATCCGTTGTTATTGTCTGTAAGTGACAGGGTGGAGTCTCATGTAGAACCTGGTGACCGCCATAGAGCCCAGCACAATGGCCCTCATGGAGCTGATTACCATTCAGTTGCGGATGAAGTTAGACCACTGAGGTAACCGAACTCTGGAATAGGCAATTCCAGGGTGAAAAGGTGGATTCTGATGGGGTTCTGACCCATTAGTGGGGGTCCTCACCCCAGGGTCAGGGTGAGCTGGGGGTGGCTGCTCCAGGCTCACGGAGCCCAGAGCTCTCCCTCTGGGCCACTCTGCGTCTGCAGCCGCCCCTGCTCTGAGGACTCTCCCCGTTCCGCTCTGCACATCCACACCCGACTGGTAAACGGGGGAAACGAAGCCTAGCTGCCCTGGAAGAGTTTACACCAAAAAACTCAAAAAGAAGAGAAGAGGAAGAAGAAGGAAGGGAGGAAGAAGAACAGGAGGGAGGGAAGAGGAAAGGATAACCCTACGAAAAACCCAAATACCTCAACCTGGAGCAGGAATCCATGTTCTATTCTTTCTGAGTGCAGTGTAGACGACCTTAGGTCGGAAGAGGTGGGAGCTTTTAGGGAACATCAGTTCCTGATGATCACTTCTGTAGAGTTTGTCATTTATAAGGCCGTCTTTGGTGCTAACACTTTGGTAATCATGAAGAACAGTGGATGACTCTGAGAGTTAAAGAAGCTGGGTGACCGGCTAGTGAGGGGGGCAGCACCCAGACCCGAGTTCAACATGACCTGCTGGATGGACATCAGAGGCTCTTGATTAATGCATCCACCAGGTGCTCAATTTGTGACGTGTCTAACTGAACCAAATCTAAATCAAAGGGTGCATGGTTGAAAACTAGGGAAACAGACTTTCTTTGAGGTCAGTTGAATAACAAAGAAATTGTGACTGCTGCCTGATGGAACCTTCAATCAACAATTACTTGGCTCCTATGAAGAGCCATTTCCTGTGTCAAGTGTTAAGGACAGGACGCAGGAGGAGACACACAGGGCCCCTGTCTGCATGAATCTTACAGCCAGATGATGAACAAGCAAACTGAAGTTACGCAGATACCCAGATGCTCACAGTTGAGGGAGGACTCCAGAGTCCTCCGGAGGCAAGGCCCTGAGATGCACATGGTACAGGAGGGAAAAGGAAGGGTGGGAAACCCCGTGGAGGGGTTTGGAAAGGTCTCTGTGAGAGGTGACATTTTTATCTGGGCTTTGAGGAATAGGTCAAAAGTCATCTTGTCACAATGTTGGGTTAGTGCCACAGGTAGAATAAACAATATTAAGACAACATGGGCCTGGATGAAACTTGAATTCTAAAATCAACCGAAAAAGCCCAGTCTCTCTACAGAGACAGAGTGGGGGGATGCTAAGCAGCGAGAAGGAGATAGGGCTGGGTTACTAGGGCCACATGGGCTGAGGTAAGGAGGGGATTGTGTTTCAAGAGCGATGATAAGACATTAAAGTGTCTTAACAGGAGAGCATCATGACCAGATTTTCCATCCAAAGGAGTGTGGAAAAACAAAAGTCCTTTCTTCAAATGCTTTAACTTTCTACCTTTGATTCCCACCACTCCGTGAGAGTTTATGCTTTCTGAATCCTGGGTTAAAGTTAACTGTAAAAAGTTGAATGAGAGGAAAAGAGAGAGGTCAAGGAGAATCCCTTTAGAAAAGGAAGAAAAAAGGAAATCACATTTTTCTTAGTTCCTACAAGGTGAGATGCGTTGCATGTTATCAAATTGAATTCTAAGTCCAGAAAAGAAATTGGATTTTTCAGTGGTTTTTTTGTGTGTGTTTCTCTAAGGGGATAGCTGAACTTCCACGCCATGTTCATCTATACATTCACTTACACACTTATCTATCATTTATTCATCCACTTAGCAGAGGGTCAACTCTGCACCAGCCGCTGCTAGACATGCTGTAGACGAAGCTTTTCTGTCCATCTAAACAGGAATCAATAACTGTGTGAACAATTCTGCTGGCAGGTGATCCCTGCTCCTAGAGATGGACACACAGGCATTGGGAATTACATGAAGGGATGGATACCTGAGTTGGAAGAGTAAGGGAGGATTCTGGGTGTTTGGGCTTGAAACTTGATGTAATAGTAGGAGTCTGAGAAATGTGGGAGATGACATTCTTGGGACAGAGTTGGAAGTCTGCAGGGCCAGACACATGATGGAAAACGGTTGTGTTTGAGGGGGCACAAGGAGCTCAATTTTGAGAATGGCCTGTAAGGTACAGAGTAGGAACAACCTAACCATGCACGTGAAGACAAACAGGATCACGGACTGACCTGTGACATTGTGCTGAGGACTCCAGATTGCATTCTATCTGCAGAGCCATTCAATCATTTTGGTGCCATGTGGTCAGAAATCCATATTAAATAATAACTTTGGGTTACTATAATAAGATGGCAGCCCAATACTATAACAGATATGCTGTAAGAGGTATCTCATGAAAAATATGATTTAAGAGACTATTGCTGCTCTTGGCAATGGAATAGACATTGGGAATGACAAGGAAAATCCAGGAAGCATCTCTGGACTCCAGTCTGGCAAGTTAAGGAAGAAAGTGACGTTCACTGAGATGGTAGCACAGCAGCTATGTGTTTGGGGCACAAGATGGTGAGCTCAAGTTTGCTGGGTCGGCCAAATGGTTTCACCATTGTGTTTCTTTATCACAATTATGGATCACACTGAAACATGGCACCAGAGATTATCTAGTCCAATAGAAGAAGGACATAAAAACACACACTGAGTCTCTAATGTCACGGCTTAGCCCCGCCTCTAGTTCTCCTTAGCTCCTGCCTGCGGCGTCTCCGTTCTTTGGGAGGAAGAACAAACATGGAAACAACACGGAGTAGAGAGGATGGCAGAGAGTCAGGTGACAACGAGAGCAGAAGGAACACGTGGTGGGGACCAAACTGCAGCTGGGACCACCTTGTCAGTGTGCTTAGAAATTAAGGTGTTCAAATTATGGCCAGATGGAGGGCATCTCCACACCTCTCTCTGAACACGGGGGTACCGAGGGCGGAAGGGATGATATTTGGCCTTTGAACGGGGATTGCTGAGGACACGTGCTGTTCAGCACCTTCACTTTGCTTGCAATCCTCCCGGAAAGTAGAGACGCATCCTCCTCTCACCAAGCTCTTCTCTATTGTGCAGCATTGTGCACCCTGATTCACAGGATGGTTCTGGTGAATTCTCTGACCCTACTGTTCCCAGGCAGGTGGCATAGGAACCCTTGAGCTGTCAGAGGTGGCAGCACTGGGGAAGATAAAGTGGGGCAGGCAAGAGAGGCCTGGCACTGGATGGAGTCCCTGCAGCTTTGAGTCTCCATGGGGACCCAAGCCCCTCCTCTCTTCCTTCAAGCCCCTCTTCTCCCCCACTCCTCTCCCCATAGCCACCTTGATCAGATTCAAAAGGAATTTGTAGGCCTTGGGAACAATTCCTCTTTGTCTTCCTGTGATGAAAAAAAATGTATTTTCAAACATTCAGTGAAATATCTGTGGCAGAGGCGCTAGGTGAGAAAGCACACACACACACACACACACACACAATCCTCCTGTTGGTCTGAGCAACACCTATGAAACAAACTGTGTCACAGCAGGTGTCTCTTCAAAGAGAGAAAAGAAAGCAATTATCACCCCACCTGGATGGGCACGTCTCCCAGTCAGGTAAGCAGCTGTGGCTGCTGCCTGTGGTCCCACCCAGGGACTCCCTGCTTTGACTTGTGCTGGTGGGGCTGGTGGTGGTTGTGTGTCTGTTTGGATCATTCTGATCTGTATGTCCTTGAGGAGGTCAGAGGCCTACCTCCGTCCCCTTTCTCCTCCCCGTCTATTCATTTTCTCCTGACATCTTTGGAAAGGGAGATGCAGAGGCAAAGGAGGGTGGCTGGGAAATGTCATGACCCAGCAGCATAATCACAGGCAGAAAGATCTGCAAAGATGTGGCGTTTTGTTCTTAGAGCCAGCGTGATGGGCAGGAAACCAACCCCCTCCACACCGAGGCTGCCAGAACCTTCCTCTGGGACCTGTGCCTGATAAGCTCCTTCCAGTCCAGACACAGCTGGTCCCGGGCTTGGGAATCAGCGAGGAGAGCTGCCCACCTCCTAGGCCCACAAGGTGGGACAGGGCTGAGCCTCTTCCTCACCAACAGATAGGGACCCTCCAGCCAATCTGACCTCAGTGAGTGCAGTCCTTGGGCTTCCCCGTCTACTTATTCCTTTCAGCCCTTTTGGCTCAAAGACTCTACAAGTGCTCAGCTGTGACTCCTGAATCATATTTGCATGGGTGTTGTGGATGCATCTCTTTGACTTAATATGCCAACATGCAAATCTAAGCAAATTAGGTCACTGGATTAGCTAAACAAAAAGCCCCCCCCCCATCCCAGCGCTAGTATGGAGCTCTGCTGCACCCTGTCACTTCCCCGGGCTGCGCGGAAAGCCCTCTTTTGTTGGTGGTGCCTCCCAGAGCCCAGGGTCCCGGCCTCTTACCCTTTGGGTCTGATTGTTGGTCACCAGTTCATAGATGGGGGCTGCTCTGGTCACCTCCAGCAGGACAGGTTCAGCAGGCGTGTCAGGGCTGGATGTCACATGACACAAGGGGCAAGATGAGGGACATCGCCCTTTGCTCTGACACTCCATGCGGACTCCGGCTGCCATTCGCTTGGTGCCAGAGTCGGACAGGCTGGCGATGTATTCTGGGAACGTCAGCACCTTGGGGTCTCTTTCCCGCTCCTCCGACTCATCAGATGGGGAGTTGCCTGCCACACACAAAATGAAAAGAAGCGGTGAGGGAGGCAGGATAGCAAGGACAGCCGTGACCTCATGGCCGCTGAGTGCCCGGGTCCAGTCCTCGAGAGATCAGAAAGTGCAGCTGAGAGGGGAAGTGTGTGATCCCCACATTCCACTTAATTTGGGGCACACACCCTCCCAGTGACACAGAGCTTCCAAGTGTGTGACCAGGTTGTTCTTTTCTGAGAATCATCAGTCCCAGAGGGATGTGTCTCTAGGATATGCTTCTGACCATCACCAGGAACACAGACAATGACAGCAATTGTTCCTTGACCCAGTTTCTTCACGTGTGCAGTGGAGATCCTAATCATACCTACCTCTGGCTTTGCGAAGTGAATGAACCACACAGTGTTTGTAAAGCACACACCGCGGTGGCTAGCCCGTATCAAATCCTCAGCCTAGTAGTTTTGATCCTAACTATAGCTAAGGCTTATGGGTTGGGAGGAGATGGGTTCGAGATCTCGTTCAGCCATGGCATGCATGGGGTTCCCCATCAGACCCATTTTATAGAGGAGGGAAGTGAGACAAGTAATCCGGTTATCCTTGGATCTGGAATATTCCCCAAAGACATGTTGGAAGACTCGGTCCCAGTGCAGCCACATTCAGAGTGGGACTTTGGGGAAGTGATTGGATCATGAGGGCTCTGACCTCATCAGTGAATTCATCCATTGATGGATTTATAGCTATTGAGACTATGGAGAGTTGACTATTGAGAGATGATAGAAATTGGGTGGAAACTAGTTGGAGTCCTTGGAGGTGAGCCTTTGGGGACTACACCTTGTCCCTAGCCCCCTTCATTCCTCCTCCCTCTCTCTGCTTCCTGGCTCCCCTGAGCTGAGCAGTTGACTTCTGCCACACCTTCTTCCTCCATGATGTTCACTCTGACCACAGGGCCTAGTGATGGGCGGAGTGGCCACAGACCAAAACCTCTGAAGCCATGAGCCCAGATAAATCCTTCCTCCTTTAAGTTGTTTTTCTCAGGTGTGTTGCCTCCAGGACAGAAGGCTGGCTAGCAGACTTAAGGCCACCCAGCTGAGGTACTGTGTGAGCTAGACCTGGACTCCGCTCGCCTGATTCCAAGGATGAGCAGGACCGCTCTGCTTTATAATTAATCATGTATTTGAGACTGGGAGGACATTTTGGCTTTTTCAAAAAGATCTGCACCCTTGTTTGATAAGTAAAAGGGAGTTAGAGAAGCTCTTTGTTGATTTTTGGTGACCAACCTGGGAAGTGCCTATCAGAGAATGATGGTTTGTTCACCCCACAAGAAAGCCCTGTCCCCAGTGATTCCTCCCGGTTCTCCATTTGACTCTGAGGGAGTCTGCTGGCAGAAAGCACAGGGCTCCTGAAGAGTTTCTGTCTCCTTTCAGCAGTTCCTGTCCCAATCAGGAAACGATTTCAGGGACCACTGTGCTCCTAGGACAAGGGGCATGCCTAGAGCGTGGATTCTGGTCTTTGGAGAACACAAGACTGGATGGGCCAGATCCTTGGGTGAAGTGGTTGGAAGGATCTGCAACGTGGTTCCAGAAGGTCATTGTGCGATCTGACTCACCACCTTTATAGAGTCCTCTCCCAAGGGAACCAGGGAGCTCCTGTGCTACTCCCTCTTGTTTGCTGTTGAATGTGAGCCCATTTGGAAGCATGAGGCTTCGCATGAGGCATCCCATGCTGCTGCTTTTCAGATGAGCACCAGGAGAGGTGCTGGGCGGACCAGGTATCCTCACCCAGCAACTCCACTGACATGGGACTTCTGCGTGTGAGGGCCAAGGACCACTCAGTGGCTATAATATGGGACATAATTTATTTAGCATTTGCATTTGATAATAGGCCCAGAGTGGAGCTCGGGTCCTTCCAGGAGCATGAGCTGTACACACCCAACCCCAGAAAGACGGAGTCCAACAGGAGGCCCAGGAGGTCACTGCACCTCACCCAAAGCGCTTCCTCCACAGGCACATCTCTACCGACACTTAGGTCTGTGCCACTCGGTTGGCACACGGCCGGGGGTGCCTACAAGACTTTCCTGCTTGCTAGATGTTCCTCAGTCTGCTATATGGACTACCAGGAATCAACAGGGTGGAGCGAAGCCCTTGAACCTTTGGTCTGATATGGGCCAACAAGCCTTCATTCACTGGGAAAATGAATAAAATTTTTTAAATCAGGAAAGGTGCAGTATCTCTTTGCAAAAAATAATATTTTTGAAAAATTTCCCTGGAAGTTTTGCCAGAGGGCTGAAGGTCTCCTGGTTGGCTTTTAGGCCCCTTACAATCGGGCATTCCTCTCCAACCCATGGCCCTCCTTTGTTGAGAACCCGGTCCACTTAGGCTGGGAAAAAATTTTTCAAAAGTGCCACTAGATGGTGGCATCCAATCTCAAATGACACTGGGAACTAAACTGTGTGAGCTGAGGTTTTGGCCTTACAGAAAATAAACCTAGAGAACAGTACCACTCGGCTCTTTCGACAATTTTGTGCAAATACATTTTTTTTTTCAATTGGACAATAAAAAAATTAAGGAGTAAAACAATCACATACCACTTTCCTAGGGAGAAATATATAACGTGAAAAGGGAGATGATGACACAGTAACTAAGGGGAAATCGGAGCCTGCAGGAGAAAATGCAAATCTCCCTCAAAATTCTTACATAGGGTAGAAGTTACTTCCAACAAGTTCCTTTTTTTTCTCACCTTTGATAAAACAGCCAGGAACTCTCCTGATTGCTACTGAGGACGCATCGTGCCAACAGTCAGACATTGCCACTAGGGGGCACTGCGACCACAAGATGGTGGGCTGCCAGGGATTGACACCTCCCTGCCCTCCAGCTCTCCATCATTAAGGCTTGTAATTGCTGCAAACATGAGGGGCTGCTCCCCTCGCTGCTGTCTTCTGGCTATTCCAATTAAAATCGAGATGCGGCTAATCCCTGTCAATACCCTTCAGCCCCAGATGCTTGACAAGATTAGGGAGTGAAGAGGAGAGGGAAGGGTGCAGACAAAGATGATTGGGAGGCCACGGAACTCCTTTTAATTCAGAATCTTATTTTCCATCTCCTGGAAGTATTCAGGCCGATACACAGGGCCCTGCTGGAGGGCGAGACCCACGATCCCCGTGGCCTCCTCATCACACCGGTTGGGGCTGTCAAGACAGGAGCTGGATTTGCACGGAAGCAATGAGCCGTGAGCTCCCAAAAGCCATCTATTCAGGTTCTGGAGAAGAATGAAGATGTGCGTGAGAGAGAGAGATTTTTCAAATAGGAAACACATTTTCTATGTGCAGTTGAAGATACAATTGGGAAATACTCCTTAAAATGATGGAGTCCAGTGGTGAAGGCCCAGATAAATCTCCCTCAGCCAGATAGAGCTTCTATACCCATCGTGTCTGGGAAAGAGAGTTTCTGGTCCTAAAAGCTTCAGGAGAGTCTGATCTTTGACACTTACTGCCTTTTAGCTCCCCCCTGTGTGGGTTGGAGTGAGTAGAGAGGTTTGTGGGTAGAGAGAGGCAGGGAGGAGAGGCCACCTATTTCCATGGGGTCCACAGTGGCTCTCCCTCCAGTGCTGACTCCTCTTATAGTCCTTGCTATATATTCCTTCAGCTATGGGTAGAAATGCTCCAGGAATTTAAGACATCATGCTGTCTCTTAGTAGGATGAATATTCTATTTCAATAAGCACACAATCTCTGGATATAAGAAATAAGTTAAAAGAGTAGAATTTGCAGAGGTGCTTTCGGATAATGAATGCCCCAGTATGTCCTCCTCCCACTGTTTGCCAGAATTCACCCCTACTGCTCTCAGAGGAGGCTCTCCAGTCCAGCTGTGACACTCGGCTTTCTTACAAGTAGAGGAACATCCAACCTGAAATGTAGTTAACAACCCTAAAACTGCAAAGCATTTTGCAAATACAGTTTGCTATAAATAAATGCCATTTGCTTTAGGCTAAATCTGTATCCTCCAGCACACAGTGGATGAATTTCCCCAATAGAATATCATGGTAGGAGAATATTGACGTCCTTAATGCCCAGAATCTCCTGTGTATGTGCCCATGGCTGTGAGCATGTACATACTGACCTGCCCAGATCCAGGAGGGCATGAGGATGGCTAAAGTGACCAAGCCACTCTCTTGCTCTGCTGGTGGGAATTGACAGGTCAGGAAGGCCAATTCCCTGTTATGAAGTCAATTGGTACAATTCCTGTAGGATTCTGGGGCTGCTTAAGAATCTCTCTCCTGAGCTGGTGCCCACGGCAAAGCGATGCTAATGACATCACAGCTAGATCTACAGATGCAGCTCATTAGGCAGCAACGACATCAAATGCAACTGATCAGATCACAGCCTCCAGAGGTGGCTTAGGACCCCCGGGAGGAAGGCTTGGCATGGGCAGATGAGGTGCAGCCACAGAAAGTTGTTCCCTGAAGCCCCCATGCCCTGAGTCCCAGGCCCTACCCCAACCTTCACCCCAGCCTACCCTTGAACCCGGATGCTCGGGTTACCTGAGTTCACGTCTCCTTCCATCCACCCACGCACAACCAGCCTCTCGGGAGGTCAAGGTCACTCTGGACATTAAGTGAGCTCTTAAACCTGCCACGGTGACACACTCTGTGAAGCCCAGTGAAATGCAACATGATGGTTTAATAACTAGGGGAAAAGAAGACAGAACAGGAACCCCCACTCCTCCCTGCTCCTCTCTGTGAAAGAACGAGTAACCTGGGACCAGGAATGGTGGCTCCTTCACGGTCGAATCTCGTTTGCCTCGTCTAGGTGTGTCTATCGTCTGTCTGCCTACCCTGTCTATCTGTCTACTGGGTCTCTTCATCCACAGACAAACCAAAGTGGATAAGTCACAACCATGGATTTAAATCATTACAAAATGTCCCACATAAGGAACAAAACAAAAGCACCGAGAAACAGCTCTCTAGCCTCTTCCTGATCATAGTGATGCCCCAGCCTCTGTCTGTAGCCAGGAACACAGCCTTAATGT